GCCATCTCCCATGAATTCATTTGAGTACAGATCTGATCCGGCACTGTGTGGACGCCTGAAAACACTGATACGCTGACACACTGACACACAAAGAGACTAGAATATATGTCTATTCATATATCATATATACATTCAAATATACCATCTATGTGTACGACCTGCAGGCGTATAATCTCTGAAAAGTTTAACATGAACCATCTCCAACACGACAGAAGCACAGAACAGACTCACCATTAGCAGAACACCCCTTTGTCACAGAAAGAACACTCATATTCCACTGAGTCGTGTCCTTTAGTCCGACAGAAGCTGAACTACATCAGCGCACAATAGAGAGCTGTTTTTTGAGCACTTAGTTTATGCAAATTAGCCATGCAAGTTTCTGTAAAACGTAAACAAATATGCGCAAAGCTGTGTGGATAGGGAAGGCTTGCGGTCACAGAAACGACGTGTGTGGACGCAGATCATTTCCGATACAGTGATACGGTGATACACAGATTCATTTCAGTGTAAATGTAGTCTCGAAGAATAATTTAATTCGGAATTAAAAAAACATCATGTAAACGTGGCCAATGAAACAAAACACAAACAACATTATAACATAGTTTAGAAAATAGCGTAATATGGGCCCTTTAAAAACAACATTCACTGGCATATTGTAGCGCCCATAACGCTAAATGAATTTGCACTTTGCTAATCTAAGGTCCAGTCTCTCATATAGGTGGTGTTTACTGTTACCAGGCAACAGCAGACTCCACATCTGGCCTGGAGCGGTTCAGACTCAAACGCTTCATTCTCTGATGCGAGCTCCTGTTAATATTGCAGTGAGTTTCCAAACTGAAAAGTACATCTCAGGCCTGGTTTATTCATGGAACTCCGAAATAAACAGGATGAATATTGTAGTGCTCCTGCCTGCTCCTGCCTGTCCCTGTCAGCTCCTCTCTGCTGTTGTAGTGTATTTGATGTGCTGTACCTACATTAGTACAATTGAACACATATATAACAGCTTGTAATTACTTTGTATTTTGGGTTGGGATAATGTGTTGGTACACAGTTTTTAGATCGTACTTGAAACTGCACTGTGTAACTTCTTTTCATTGCTTTGCCTGGAATGTTCCACAGTATGACATTAAACAGCTCTACTTTATATTTATTCAATTACAGGGGTTTTTATAGCTCAAAAATACCTAGAAAAACAGGCATTCTGACTGTGAGCGGGGTAACCTCTCCACAGATCTGACCTGTAACTTGGTCTGATTTTCTCCCCATGAACATAGAAAGGTAAGGTAAAATGGACTGTTCCACCTTTTGATGTCATGAAGTGGTAGTTTTCAAGTTAACAGCTACTTTTACTAGTCAGGCTGGCACCACCTAGTGCCTCTGCTCAATTTAATTTCTCTCCAGCGACTAGGTCAGGAATCAGAATACACTAGACGGTTTGCAAGAACCTCTGAAGTTCTAGACCGCGCACCGGCCAATCAGTGAAGAGCTGTGAAGCCATGACGTCAAACTCAAGCGTCTGTCTGGGTCACTTTTATGGTACAACACAACAGTAAACAAAGCGTCGAGATTGATGTAGACGAAGACAGACATTCTGTGTTTGCAACAATTCCCGAGATCAAGGATTTAAAGCCAGAACAAAGAGAATGTTTGGAAAATTTTATCAAGGGGAAAGACATTATTGCCCTTCTTCCTACGGGATTTGGTGCAGTAAATACGTCACAACCAAATAGCAGCGATTGGTTAAATAAAAAAAAACACCCGCTTACCGTCGAGCGAACAAATCCTAATGCTGCGAGGTCAGACAGTTTCCACAATGTGAAACCAACCGATGAAGCAGCCTCACCTTTTACTGTGTGTTCAGTAGAGATTGGCAATTCTAGGTCTTTTCAACCCTGGAATCATCCAAATTATTCTAGTGAAGGTGTATGGAGTTTAAAAACACTTCCTATATTACCAGATGACATCACAAGGTGGGACAAAGTGTTTTCTGTTTGAGAGAAGAACAAGTATGTTTGTGATGCAGAAACATTACAACACAATTCAGAAAATAGCGTAATATGAGCCCTTTAAAAACACAAACATCCAGCCAGTTGTTTCCTGGCAAAGTCTGTGTTTGCTAATCCACAGGGCCCCACCAACCACTAGGGGGCCACGGAGATTAATTAGAGGAGGAAAAAGCATGGATGTATTCATGTATACAAAACGAGTCAATAAAACTTAATTAAAAAAGTGTATGAGCAGCAACGTTTTGAGGTTAAACCAATCTAGAATAAAGCAGCTTGTGTATTTCTGAAGCAGTAGTTAACACATTTTGAAGTAAAGTAAATATAGACAACAAATTATAATATTGAAACTCATTTAAACCACAAAAACTATTCTAAATATATATTTTTTAAAAGTAATAGGAGAACGAAACACATTTTAACTTAAAATATAGCCAAAAAATAACCCAAAATGTCCCAGTAGTGCAAAGAAAATGTACACACTATAAATACTGATCCCAAAAATATTGTTCCGTCTTTCATTTATTGAAGTACAAGTGGAAATTGTAATTATTGTGACATTAGTGGCATTTGTATTTTGATTTCAAGGCCAATAAACTGAAGCTATGAAGCAAAACACATGGCTACTTTGCATAATAAACACCGTCCGTAAGTTGGCTGCATGTTTTAGCATTTTTAGCATCTGCAGAGCCTCCACAGTCAATGTTCCGGGCGCTAGGTGTTAGCCGTGGCGATAAATACAAAAATGTGTCACATGAAAATGAAAGTGCGGTGATAAAACGACACTGGTGTTTTGTTTTACGATAGAGCTCAGGCCTGTTAAGGGAGATGGAGATTTTTCTGTGTAGGGAAGCAATTTGCAAAGATCCCAGAAAGATAGAAATGTCCTTGCTTTTATTGCTCCTGTCTGCTCCTGTCGGTTTCCGTAGTTCCTGCTCCTGTCTCGTCCTGCTTCCTGTCTGCTCCTGCCAGCTCCTAACTTGTGCTGATGTCTTCGTTGCACCTGCCTGCTCCTGTCTACTCCTATCTGCATTTGACTTTGCTCCTGCCTGCTCCTATATTCTCATCACTCTGCTCCTGTCGGCGTCCGTAGTTCCTGTCTACTTCTGCCTGCTCCTGTCAGATTCCATAGTTCCTGCTCCTGCCTCGTCCTGCTTGCTTCCTGTCTGCTCCTGCCGGCTCCTGTCCACTCCTCTCTATGTCTGACTTTGCTCCTGTCAACTCCTATCTGCTCCAGCTTGTTCCTGTCTACTCCTATCTTCTCTTCACTCTGCTCCTGCCTGCACCTGTCGGCTTCCGTAGTTCATGCTCCTGTCTCGTCCTGCTCCCCGTCTGCTCCTGCCTGCTCCTGTCTTCTCCAGTTTGTTCCTGTCTACTCCTGTCTTCTCTTCATTCTGCTCCTGCCAGCTCCTGTCTACTCCTATCTGCATCTGACTTTGCTCCTGTCTGCTCCTGTCTTCTCTTCACTCTGCTCTTGTCTCCTCCTGTCTAATTCCATTGCACCTGCCCCACCTGTCTGCTCCTCGCTCCTGCCTGCTCATCTCTTCTGTTCTCTCTGCTCCTACTTGCTCCTGTCTGCTCCTGCCAGCTCCTGTCTACTCCTATCAGCATCTGACTTTGCTCTTGCCCGCTCCTGTCTGCACCAGCTTGTTCCTATCTACTCCTGACTTTGCCCCTGCCTGCTCCTGCCTTCTCTTCACTGTGCCCCGTCGGGGGTTGTCTCTGCTCCTGTCTGCTTCCATTGCTCCTGCCGCACCTGTCTGCACTTTGCTCCTGCCTGCTCCTCTCTTCTCTTGCCTCTGCTCGTGTCTGCTGATTTCTGCTCCTGTTTGCTTCTCTCTTCTGTTGTTTCTACTCCTGTCTGCACCTGTCTATACCTTGCTGTTGGTTGCTCGAATATGCTCCTGTCTTCTCCTGTCTGCTCCTGCCTGCTCCTGTCTTCTTGTTTCTGCTCCTGTCTTGTCTTCTTTCTGCTCCTCTCCTCCCATTTTTCAGCTCCTGTCTGCCCCTGTCTGCTCCTGTCTGCTCCTGACTGCTCCTGTCTGCTCCTGTCTTCTTGTTTTTGCTCCTGTCTTCTTGTTTCTGCCCCTGCCTGCTCCTGTCTCCTCTCAGTAGAACATGGAGTCTCTGGTGGGTTTGGGGAATCACTCATTTGCTTAATCCAGGATGATCCGACAAAGCGCCCACACCTGCCTCTCCTGGCTCCACTCAGCCCCGCACAGACACGGAAACCAGGCCGAACCGAGCCATGAGAGACGGGGCTGGAGAAGAGGACTGCAGCAGGACTAAAGCAGGGCCAAACCCAGACTAAAGCAGGACTAAAGCAGGACTAATGCAGGACTAAAGCAGGACTAAAGCAGGGCTAAAGCAGGGCTAAAGCAGGACTAAAGCAGGACTAAAGAAGGACTGAAACAAGATTAGAGCAGGGCTAGAGCAGGACTAAACCAGGACTAAACCAGGACTAAACCAGGGCTAAACCAGGGCTAAACCAGGGCTAAACGAGGACTGAAACAGGACTGAAAGAGGACTGAAACAGGATTTCAAGCAGGACTAAACCAGGGCTAAACCAAGACTGAAACAGGACTAGAGCATGGCTAGAGCAGGTCTAAACCAGGGCTAAACCAGGACTAAGAAGAAAACTGGACTAAAGCAAGACTAAACCAAAACTAAACCAGGACTGAGCATTTCTAACACAGGACTAAACAACTAAACAAATGTAGAACTAAAGCATGACACAACCAAAACTAAAGTAGAAACCAAGACTAAACAGGACTAAAGTTGGACTAAACCAGGACTGAGCCAAAACAAAGCCAAGACTGAACCGGGATTAAACCCAGACTACAGCAGAACTATAGCAGGACTAAAGACAGAACTAAACCTGGACAAATGAAGAAACCAGGACCAAACCAGAACTACACACGGATCCAGGACTATAGATGGATTCAGGACAAAACCACAACTAAACCAGGTCTAAACCAGGTCTAAAGCAGGACTCACCATATCGATGGAGGAGACCGGGCCGATGCTGTTCACGTAGATGCCCACGTCGATCACGGTTGGCTTCACTGTAAGAAAAAAAAACACAGTGAATACTTTAACAGTGCTTTTCACATAATCATAGTTATTATCACCTATATTAAAGCTGCATTGTGTAACTTTTCTGGTGGACCAACCCTCTACCAATTGAACTACTGTCATACTGTGGAACATTCCAGGCAGAGCAATGATATCGCCATAGAAACAAGCAAGTGATGGACCCCAACCAAAAAGTCCTGGTTTCTTCATTTGTCCAGGTTTAGTTCCCTCTTTAGTAGTGCTGTGGTTCTGATGTAGTCTGGGTTTAATCCTAGTTCAGTCCTTAGTTTTGGTTTTATCATGCTTTAGTTCTATAGTTGTTTAGTTGTTTAGTCCTGCTTAGTCCTGTTTTAGTCTTGGTTTAGTCCTGCTTTAGTCCAATTTTCTTTTTAGTCCTGGTTTAAGCCTTGCTTCAGTCCTTTTTTAGTCCTTGTTTAGTTCTGGTTTAGTTTTGGTTTTGTCCTAGTTTAGTCCTGCTCTAGTTCTGTTTCAGTCCTGGTTTAGTCCGTGTTTAGCCCCGGTGTAGTCCTTGTTTAATCCTGGTTTAGCCCTGCTTTAGTCCTTGCTTAGTCCTTGTTTAGTTCTGGTTTTGTCTTGGTTTAGTCCTGCTTTAGCCCTTGTTTAGTCCTGATATAGTCCTGCTCTAGTCCTGTTTCAGTCCTGGTTTAGCCCTGCTTTAGTCCTGATTTAGTCCTTGTTTAGTCCTGCTTTAGTCCTGGTTTAGTCTTGGTTTAGTCCTGCTCGAGCCCTGCTCTAGTCCTGGTTCCATTCCAGGTAGAGCAATGATATTTCCATAGTAACAAGCAGGTGATGGACCCCAACCTAAAAGTTACACAGTGCACCTTTAAGCAGTATATTCCAGTGATGTAGTATTCTTTTTACATAATCCTATTCAGATCAGAAAAAGTCTTCAGAAACATACCAGCATAGATTTTTTTTTCTTCGGTATTTTAGATTTCATAATTGCTCACTATGTTGCCATGACGACGAGAGCAATTTCCCCCATCTATCCGTCCAACACGGCGTATGAAAAGTATGTTTTTTACTTTCCGGACATGGACATTTCGCCGCCTCATTGTGTTTTGCGTACAGTTGCCATGGCGATTAATGGTATCGCCAGACAAAGCGGGCGAGGTTGGCGAAAGCTTTTGGCACTTACTTCATAACGGTGGGTCAGTGGAGGTAAAGTGGGTAATAATGGTCCAGTATTGTTTAACAAATACTTCTCGGCTTGTCGTACTTAGGAGTCATTTGCGGTTCAAGTTCTAAAAGCTCCTGAAAAATGAAATTGTAGTTTGGTTCTCGTTAAAATCCTGGTTTAATCTGAATTTTAGGTTCATTTAATCTGTGAATTTGGGTAGTTTTGGTATGGCTTTGGTAAATACTTTCATATCTAAGTCCAATACTAAGCAAAACACATCAAAACTCAGACCAAACCAGAACTAAACCAGGACTAGAGCCGGACTAAACCAACAATATATGGACTAAACTGGATGGGCTCAAACCAGGATCGAGCAGGAGAAGTTTAGGAGCTTCCATAAAACCTTTAATGGTGTGTGTGGTTCCTTTTTATTGACTCCTTTACTTGGTCACTATCTTCTTTTTTTCTTCTTATTTGTCTCTTAGGACAGTGCTGCTCCTCTTTCCATCTGGACCTTCTCTTTCTCTCTCCTCACTGCAGTGTTTGAAACCACTACAAAGTTTTTATAGACAGTTGCTTTACAAAGATGTGTGAAACGCTCTCTAAACTAAATATTTTTACTTCTACAGCATGCCCAGAAGACACATATTTTTAGTTCTCTCTCTAAGAAGTAAGTTTGGGCATTAATGGCATTCAGGGTTGAAGTATGTTTCAACTACTACTATTATAATCTGTGTCCTTTTACAATTTATAAAAAAACATCATTACCAATTCACACACGCATTCATACACCAGTGGGAAGGTTGGTGACATGTCTTGCCAAAGGACACAACAAGAGCATTCATCTGTGGAAATTGAAATGACTGAGGCTATGTTTATATGAGGACGGTCTGAACAGAAGACACAAAAGTGGCGTTGTATCTTCACTTTTTATTCCGCGTTTAGATGAGAAAATCTGGGAAATTTGGGAGGAAATCTGCGTGCGTACGGCGACGCAAAAGTGTGTGCAATTGGACTAGGTATGTATGCCAGGTTTCAGTGTACTGTGACGTAAACGCGTACGTGACATGAGCAGATCTGACCAGAGTTTTGCGTCTTGGGCAGTGTAGACGGAAAAGTTACGGCGGAGCATATTAAACTTTTCCACTCTGGAGGGCGGTTTTTGCATTTTTAAGCCCCAAAAACGCCGTCACCTTCTAAACGAAAGGCACTTCTGATGAAATATTTAGTTGTTTTTACCTGCAAATGTGTAAACAGGCCCTTAGACAAACTTTATTGATCCCCTAGTGAAATTATTTGAACACAACAGCTCACACATCACAATATAAGATAATAACAAAGAGTGAAAATATAAATGGTGATCATAAATTCGAAATAAGTAACAAATATAGTAAGAAACTCGTGTCAGATAAGGCAGAATTATATAAATGTATATGTAATTTTTTAGGTTTTTTAATATTTCGAGAGTGGGATTTGAACCATCAACCTTCAGATCAATACACAAACCTTTTACCAACTGAGCTACTGTCAACTCAAGACTGTTCACCGTTCCTACTGTGCAGTACTTTGGTCAACTGTAGAACTAAAATAAAAAAAATGTATTCCTTGACTGATTGATTACTGAGTTAAAGGTGCATTGTGTAACTTTTCTGATGGAGGGGCCGTCATCTGCTTTTCTCCATCTTCTTCTTCATGGAGACCAAACCAGACCAAGTTACAGGTCAGATCTGTGGAGAGGCGACCCCTTTCACAATCAGAATGCCTGCTTTTCTAGGTGTTTTTGGGCTATAAAACCACACAATTGAATAAATGTAAGGTGGAGCTGTTTAATGTCATACTGTGGAACATTCCAGACAAAGCAATGACACAGTATCCATAGCAACAAGCAAGTGATGGACCCCCAACCAAAAAGTTACACAGTGCACCTTTAACGTCTGACTTAAGCACCTTGTGAATTTCTGTACTTTCTTTGGAAATAAAGATAAATAAATCTTTGTCTTTTCTCAATAATGAATTTAATTTATAATTATTAGATTTAAAAATTAGAATTAGATTTTAAAAAATTATTATATTTTTTTCAGCATTTTTTGTGACTAGTTTCAAGCATATTCACCTTTGGGCTGTTAGTAAGAATATTTTTAAAGTTAATTTCAGTGATTTTGCAGAAAGTATAATTTATGTGGCTAATTTGAATTTGTGAAACTATAATTTATTTAATATCCAGCACTAAGATATTATCATGAAATTGAATAAAACCACAATTTTTAATCAAACTGAATCAAAACTACTTTTATTTTGATGACATTTTGCAGGTCATAATATGTTTTAAAGTGCATATTTCAAACACCATACATATTGTTATTTGTACGCAAGCTAATGAGGTCAAATTCTTATCAAAATTTATTCAAAACTAGTGGAAAACTTGGAAAATATTTGTGCTTACAAGAATAAAAAAATATAACAGAAATACAGCTGCAGGAAAGATCCATGCTCCAGGCTCCATCTGCTCTCCCTGTGTGAGTCCAGGCATTTATACACAGGTCATTCCATTTCTAGATAATTACAGGTAACAACATTTATTTTGGACTTTAATAGCTATTTAATCACACTTTTTAATTTCGTGTTTTATCTGTTATTATATTTATGTAAAGCAAAAGTAATAAGGACAAACTAATTAACTTCAAAATATAAAAAAAACTACATTGAAAACTAGCTTATTCTTTAAACTATATCTCCCCCCTTCATGACTTGGTTTAGCCCAAAATGTTCAAATGGCCAAGATGAGACTCCGCCCCCTGTGTATGGAGTTTGAACTGGTCCAGGTGAGTGTGGAGCTGTGTTTGGGAAGATATTCAAGATATTCAGTGTTAAATGGAAGTAATTTATATTTTAAGTAAGATATGTTATGGATTATATGAAAAAAAGTGATTTATAATTTAATTTATTTATTTATTTTTTTTAAATGGCCTATTCAGAATAACCAACAAACTGAGTACAAGGTGAAACAGACTTGAAAAGAATTATATTATTAATGGTCTTTACCGGTGTTTCATATGGGATTTGACTGTGCAGTGCTGATGTATATGTGGAAATATAAGCCAGATGCCCTTCCACAAAGTTTCCAAATGATGTGTATTGGATTGGGACTTTAAAAGTACTTAAGATTGGCCAATTTTAGTGGTTTTAAAGTGTATAAAAATGTAGTATTTTCAATAGCCAATGGTGATATGTTTATATAGAAAAGTACACCAGATGCCCTTCCAGAAAGTTCCCTATTGATTTATATTGGGTTGGGACTTGAAGAGTAATTAAAATTGGTCAACGTTAGTGGTTTTAAGGAGTAAAAATTTAGGATTTTCAATAACCAGTGTTGATGTAATTATGTGGACCAGATGCCCTTCCCCAAAGTTCCCAAGATGTAAAAATGTATTTACAATAACCAGTGTTGGTGTAATTATCTAGATGAGTACACCAGATGCCCTCCCAGAAAGTTATCTAATAATTTATACTGGACTGGAATTCAAAGAGTACTTAAGATTGGTCAACTTTAGCAGTATTAAGGTGTAGAAATGTAGTATTTACAATAACCAATGTTGATGTGTTTATGTAGAAAAGTACACCAGATGCCCTTCCAGAAAGTTCAAAATTAATATATATCGGTTTGGGAGTTGCTGAGTGCTTTAGACCGTGAACTCTTGTGGTTAAATAAGGCATAAAAATGTAGTATTTTGAGTAGTAGTGATACGTGCGCTTTAGCCCAGTGAAATCTCCTTTTGTGTCTTGTGTTTAACCTCTGGCCTCGGCCGGTCAGGACCAGAGCGGCACAAATGAATATAAAGTAGATTAACG